GGGCCAGTGATTTCATGTGAGTGAACGTACACTTTCTATTGCTCAAAGCTGTGCGGGAAAGGGCTGTGGCGCAATATTGCAATATGCCCACTTGCTTTCACTATAAAAGTATGAGTGGATGGGAAATGAGATCCCGGCGGATGCCGCACAAACATGGGAGAAAGAACTGGTCGAGGAACATGTCTGCCAATTGAATAAATTTTGGAGGTATCTGATCATCACCCATGTCGATATCTCATCACTCCTGATATCTAACCACCGAGACAATGAGGAAACTCGCAGGAATGTGTCCCTGGACAACTCGGGCCGTGAATATTCATAGATATGACGCGCGAGTAAATGGTGACTATATCCGCCCTTGGAGCCACCATGACTGGCAAGACGATTGGTAATCCTGTCCAATGCGAGAGCGCTCACCCGCAGTCAAAGCTAGGGAGAATAGGAGGACTGGCGACGATGTTGGAACGCTATGCTGCGGTGGATAGAGGGGAACTATGAGGGGTTCCTGTAAAGGAGAAGTGAAAAGCGTAGGCCTGAGTAGTCACATATTGGAGCCATAACATTCATCTTCGATGATCAAACTTCCCGGGCTTGGAAGCCGGAGCATCACGTGGCCGCTCTCGACCGCTGACTAACAGCCTCCCCCCAACTCCAACCTCCACCATCATTGCCCGCCGCCGAACCCAAAGTATTCGCTGTGTTTGCCTGTCTTGAGTTAAATATCACAATTCCCACTCTCTGCTGCATGGCATAGCCATTTCCCATCTGCACGCAAGACGCCCCGTACGGATTATCCCAGTTCGAGAGGGGGAGGCGCGGATCACCATTACATCAACGGTGTGCTTACGGTGTGTTATTATTGTGTGCTGTTGGGTGGGTGTACCAAGTTTGTTATCTCTCAAAGAACATTGTTTGCTGAAATCCCGCCATTAGATTAAATAATAGTACCCCTTTGTTTACGTCGATTCATCATTTTCTAGATTCAACTCCTTGTATTGTCGAGACTACACCTATTTTGCTCGAAAGCCTAGGCAGCTCCCGTGCGAGCTTGTGTCGATTGTTTATATCTCTCTCCACCTCTGCCCACCAACTTTCTATGTCTTAAATGGCTTCCCAACGGAGCTGCTAGTATCTCAACCACGATCCTTCAGCCAGTTCCTCACAGGCTTATATATCTCTTCATTTTCGAACCGTTATCGAAACTGTCTCCGTGTTGGACGGCATATATTCTCCCAGCTCTCAATTCTGTATCTACACCATCATCACAACCTCCCTGTTTTTCTCGAAAACTTCCACACATGTACACATACATGCAGACATACATACATAAATAAATATATCCCATCCATAACTCCAAGGCGAAACCATGCCGTGCTTCAAGGGCCTCGCCGTTAGCATTCACACGCCCAACGGGCCGCTACCAGAGTACTCCGTCCAACGGCAATCCCGCGCCTCTCGAATCGCCTGCTACATCCCCGTCCCGCCCCCGAAAGTCCCAGATCCCGCAACAGGTAAATCCGAACAATCAACCTTCGCCATCTCCATTACCCTACTCACCCCAGGCCAGAACGTACCATACTCCACTCCGAAACCCACACCTGAAAACCCGCACCCAAAAGCAAAAGTCGTGGGCAGTTTCCCCAGGACCACAAATTCCATCGGGCCATATCAGCCATTGACTACTTCTCCCAACGAAACTGTTGCGGCGTATATATACTTTGACGGGCGGCAGAAAGAGGAGGTGGCTACGCTATTACGGCGTGGGGAGGAGACGTGGGTTAACTCGAGATGGGTTAGCATTCCAGAGTCGAAGGGTGGAGGGCTTGCGGAACGGGAGTTTCTATTTCAGGAGGTGGGGTTGGAGAGATGGCTGAATGGGCTGGATTTGGAAGGCAAGGGGAGGGATACCGCGGCGAAGATTGAGAAGAGGAGACAGAAGATGGAGCGGAGGCGTAAAAAGCGGGAGTTGGCCCAGCAACAACTACAATCAAAAGGAGGTCAAGATGGTGAAACGATGATGTTAGATACTGATGAGAGAAAGACTAGATCTGGACAGGGTGTGTTGCGCTACGGGGATGATGCACAATCGCCTCTGGAGAATCTGTCAGATGTTGAGTATTCCGCTGAGTCGGAGGAGGATGATGACCCTATACCAGAAGCGGCAGGCCAGATCAAAGTGGCCCTGTTCAGAGTTTTGGCGTCTGGGGAGGTAAAGCGGGGTGAATATTCGCCCCAGTTCGATGCACAGGATGACGATGACGAAAGCCAAGCGCAAGGGTTAAATGGTAAAGGGGGTGATGATAGGGATGTCGACCATACTACTAGTTTCGCGAAGCCCAAATCGTTAGACCCCAAGACTATCAGCACGCAGACTGTTACAGGGATTGATGGACCAGACAGGCCATATGCGATATTTACGTTTATGTATCGAGGAGAACGTAAGTTTGGAGGTCCCTTGTTTATTTTTATATTTGTCTCTTTGTGTTTTCCCCCCCTATCTTCATCTGCTTTTTCATGATTCTTAGGTGTGTCTGACATGAAACTTTATTTTTACAGGCCAATTGCAAAGAATGGGCATTCTCGAACCCAAATCGCGGGATCAAGATAATAAAAGCTCGTCTACAAGACGTATTTCGCTACAGTCCGACCTTGCAAACCTTGCACCTCTGAAACCCGGCGGCGCCCCGGGTCTCTCGAAGTTTAGGGACCATAATAATGCTGATCAGGGGCTAGGGAAATCGAGAAAGAAGCCTAAGCGAGGTAGTGAAAGTGATATGGACGACAGCGACTATGACGACGATGACAATGGGCCGTCGTCTATATTGCACAAGGCTGAGGAGGAGGGGGATAAGGATGTCAGTCCTTCGCTGCTTTCTCCGGATGATATTCGGCGACAGGGTGAGCTTGCCGAGGGAGTGAGGCAAATAAAGGTGAGATTTCTCATGCTGTTGATTTCATTTTATACCAATATCGTATCAGTTCATTCCTGTGGGAATACCCAGTTCGTCATTTTAATATATCTGAACGATGTCGTACTTACTATCCAAATCTCTACTATTAGCTAAAACGACAACATTCCGCCGAACCCCTTGCAAGCAGCGGAAACGCGACCTCGAGGACTTCCAAATCAAACACACCAGCATCAATATCCACCCCACCAGCCACAACCACTACAACAGCAGCGACAACAACGTCAACTACAACTAGCACTACCGCCGCAACAGCCGCGACCACCCCTCCGCATCAGGGGATTGGCGGTGGCTCTTCGGCTCTAGAACCGTCGGAATCCCGAATGAATAGTCACGGCCACGGTAGCTCTGTGCTTGAAACCGAACCCGAGTTCATCGGCAGCCCTATGAAGAAGCAGCGGGCTAGCGTGTTGGGGGCGGATGATGATGTATTTAACACTAAGCGGTTGGCTGGGTCTGGGTTAACTACTAATATCCAGGAGGTTATGGGGTCCGGTTCAACGTCGGGTTCGATTTCTGGTGGAGGTAGCAGCAGTGGTGATGCTTTCTCCAGTGTCTCTGGAGTTAGCACTGGTCTAGGCTCGGGTATGATGCCCAGAAGCAATCTGAATATTGAGCAGAAGCCTCCACAACTTGGGCATGAGGAGCTGGAGGAGGACCTATAGGGAAATTGGAGGTTGGATATTTTTGTTTTGGACTTGGTGGGAGTTTTCTTTTTTCTTTTTTTCTTCATTTTTCTACGTTATATTCATTTTCGTTTTACTCGATTCGTTATTTTGCGTGCAACGTCTCTTTCCTTTTCTCCGTTTTGCTTGTTTTCCCCCCCTTTTGCGGAATGCAGAATTGGCTTAGAAATCTCGGAAAATTTGAATAAGTGGGTGGGTGATTAGCATGATATTGCTTTAATGAGTACAGACTACGTACTCAGGAGCTGGACGGAGAGAAAATGTTTTAATTACATGGTGCTAGGAACATCCCCCTAGCCAGGTATTTAGTTAATATGAGAGTCAAAGAAGAGGGCCTCACCCATTCCTATATTATTTATTATTTTTTGAGTCGGAATTGGATGGAACTGTTGCGTTCAAGGAATTTGCTGACACGGACAGTAGTAGTAAGAAATCCCTGGAAAGCCTTGGCTGGTCAGCCATTTTGCTGATGGATGATCGTCGCTTGTGAGTATCCAGTCCAGAGTCCCTTGAAAGCTCCAATAAAAGAAAAACCACTGAACCACTGATTTTAACAGCAGAGGTTCCAAATCAGAAAAATTCCTTGGAATTTCTTTGGTGATGAAAGGTTAGAACTCCTCCCGAAACAAATGGCTTGGCAATGACCTTGAGAATACTCCGTACAGAGTATAAATATTGTTGAGATATTGCTTACTATTGACTGGACAGGCTTACCCTGCTCTTAGCTGATTCTCTTCTGAATAAGATCAACCTTAAAAAAACCTTAAACGTCCTTGTCATGTTGCTTATTGTATGATTAATACTGAGCTATCGGAGTCCGTCGACACGCTTGTCCCCGTCGAGCACCCCCCGGCCCACACGGCCTCTCTCGCCAGAAGCTTGGAATTATTATTATTATCATCGCCATCCGCTAGCAAGCATTGTTGCCACAAGAAGACGCAACGGCAATTATTAGGATGAGCGAGCCGGTTAGAATGTGCGCTACGCATGCCAGTTTTGTTTCATAAAACGGCCTACGGCTCTCGACGGCATCATTCTCACTCTTCATAATTTACGCAGCCGCCGGAGACCATGAGTGCTGCCGATCTGGAAAATGATGGCCCTGCTCCCCGGATTGTACCGATCAAGGATCAACTCGGTGTCAATATTTTATGAGCCGCACATGTGTATAATATTAAGATTATGAGGGCGCCCGCCTCTCGGTCTCATGCACTTCCGCCCGGGTGGGAGCTCGTGTGTGTCCTCACTACTGGTTTGTTTCTATCCGGAAGAAGAGAAGAGGCAGAAGAAAAGAGACGAGACATATGAGCCATTGCTCTGGTTGATTTGGCTATTCGTATCGAACATGAGAAGCCCTCCTAAAGAGGTGATTGCCTCCTGGCCCAAGCCCAACTATGTGAATCCCGAGTATCAGGGCCCACTAATGCCCATAGTTGGCATTTTATTCGTGTGTCTCTCTTTCATTGTCCTTTCGCTGCGACTATGGGTTCGAGTTCACATGAAAAATTCCGCTGGATGGGACGATTGGCTCATGCTTGCTACGATGGTATGTCTGCATAACTTTTGTTTTCTTTAGTTTGCCTATTCACTTCCTCTCGGGTCTGGTTATTTTTACTTTATTTACTGTTTTTCTCCTTTGTTTGGGGGAGTTGAATTAACTGCTTACTCGGTTCCCGGAGTAGCCTTTCATTGTGGCCATCACGGTCTCGACAATATTAGGTACACGTTTCGGATGGGGTAAGAATCAACAATTTTTAAATATTCATTCATTCATTGTTTCTTTCTTTTTGTTGTAGAAGGAAGAGCTAGCCTAACAATCTGAAATAGGCGTCCATATATGGGATAACAAACCGGAGTGGTCAGAACCCTCTCGGATGGTAGTTTACCCCGTTAACTTCCTCCTCCGAGCGCTCGGGGAACGGGGGCAATACGTTCTCATCCCGCTATCTAAATGTCTAGGCTAACGCGCTCCTTTACGGGGAAAACAGACTAGTTGGTTTAGCCAACTGTTCTTCATCATCATCATGACGTTGGTAAAGCTTTCAATTCTTTCGTCATATATCCGAATTTCGGCGAAGGATAAGAATTTATTCAACCGGCTATCATGGGCTGTGCTGGCTCTCGTGGTCGCTTGGGGCATCAGTATGTCTCTATGATATTCAGAAATCTCTGCACATGCTCAGGAGCTGACGAAAGATATGAAGCCTTCTTCGTTGCGGTGTTCACAGTTTGCAGGTAAAGATATTGGCTTTATGCTCGTATGTACCCATGACTACGTTATTTCTAACAGTTTCTCAGGCCGTTGCGACGCTACTGGGAAGACTTTACCGATGAGACATGTGTTGACGAATCTTCCCGTATACTTGGTGCCACGGTTTCGAACATTATTACCGACCTCATCGTGTTGATTCTTCCTATGCCTACCTTTTGGAAATTGAAGCTGCCCATTCGCGAAAGAGTCGTGTTGATGGCCATGATGAGTTTGGGTCTGATGTACGGCTTATATTTTGTATTCCCCTGCCCTTGTGAGCTTGGCATTTGAAAATCCCAATTGTATTTTGTTAGCTAACGGATGGCAATTCTTTATTCTAGCGCTGTTGCTGCTTCCGTTGTCCGATGTTGGTATATGTATGTGACAACAGATCTCACCTATGATGTCACCTGTAGGTCTCCCTTCCTCTTTTACCATCCGCACGAATCAATATGTTCTCCTGTCACGGAATATGTGCTAACGCGGATCTATCAAACTCGCTGCCCAGGGCATGGATATACGATTTGGGTATGGAATGCCATAGAAGTTAATCTGGCTGTTATATGCGCTTCCATCCCGACATTGCGACCTTTTGCCAGGAAGTATTTCCCGAGACTGGGGATTAAAACGACTTCCCCCTCTCGATCAGGACCTCAATCAGGCTCACATGAACATAGTGGGATTTATAAAGGGCACACAATAAAGCAAACAGGAGAAGCTAGTACCTCGACGGAGCACTTGAACCGCGAACCCGAGGTGTATCCAATGACGCCCGTGAGATCCTACCAAAGACGGTGAAGTAAAAAAAGCGCCGACTAGAGAGTATTTAAAATGTAAGGGAATAAAAATCTATGTATGGGTAGCTGGATAATATATATTTTGGATGGTCAGGTACTCTTGTGATATATAGCATGGGAATTGGAAATTGATTGGTGTTAAAGGGATAAATAAAAAAATAAATTATGTTGAACCCCTTTTCTGTCCTTTGTGGTAAATAAGTTAAATCGTTGGGTTTTTCTTTAGCGCAACCAGAAACAGGGTCTGCCAAATATCTTTCGACTCCAGCCACCATCGAATCTCCCTAAGCAAGGCGTATCTCAGAAATACGTGGAGATCATCACTTTATAGCTCGCAATAAACCACGGCTAATGTGAAAATATGACGCTCTCCCGCTCTACCGAACCTCTTGTCTGGATTGATTGTGAGGTTCGATCCCCAGATCGCTCCTCCGTCCCATGCATGGATTGACCGATGGATATATAATATAGCCATCTCCACCCAGTTATCAAAAGAACAAAAATAATATGATCCTCAAGAAAAAAGAAAAAGAAAAAGAAAACTAACCCCTCACCTTTTCCCCTGATAAAAAGATGACAGGCCTCGACCCTCGCACGGATAAAATCCTCCAGATATGCTGCTTCATCACCGACGCGGACCTCAACCTCCTCGATCACACTGGATTCGAAGCCGTTATCCACCACCCCAAATCCGTCCTTGACAACATGAATGACTGGTGCATCGACACGCATGGCCGGTCAGGGCTGACGGCTGCTGTGGCCGCGTCGAAGACCACCCCGACGGCCGCCGCGGAGGGGCTCCTTGCCTATATCAAGAAACACGTGCCGCAGAAACGCACGGGATTGCTTGCGGGTAATAGTGTCCATGCGGACAAGGCGTTTTTGGCCTGCGAGCCATATGCAATGGTCCTCGAATGGCTGCATTATCGGTTGCTCGATGTGAGTAGTGTTAAAGAGGCGGTGCGGCGGTGGGGGGATGAGGAGGTGTTGAGGGATGCCCCGAAGAAGGAGTTATTGCATTTAGCCAGGCAAGACATCCTGGAGAGTATTGAGGAGATGAGATATTATCGCCAGGTATTATTTGGGAAGAGTTGAGTGGGATTTCTATCTGCACTCAACGCTGGCTGGAGGCTGGTGGTGGGTGGGTGACATAAAGATTACCACCTGGGGATACGGGGATTTTTCATGATAAATCATTCCGAATTTATGATGAGAAATTCTATTTAAGCTCGATATAGATGTTACAATTCTCCTTACAATTGAACGCCTCTGTCTCTACTTCTCTGCAGGCGGGGCGCAGAGGTGGGGATTTAAGAGTTCAGTTACAGATAGGCGGCCTATAAATAATATTGCACCTATATCATCATGTCCAGGGCGTTAATTAGAAATACAAAATCAATTTCCATATCCTCAAATCGCGATTTAATTCGTGTGAAATAATTCTAATGACATGCCAGAGACATCATCACAGCCGCTTCGCTTCCATCTAAAAGCTTCGGTGCGCTGGTTGGGGCAATATTTATTTTGGCCAACAAAAAAGTTGCCAGTGTCGCAACTGCTGCCCCGCCAAAACTGGATTGTTGGAAAACAACATCGCCAACTCCCAACAATCCAAAGCCCTGTTCGATCCAAAGAGTGGTAAGTTTGTTAACAAAGGGCCAGAGATATATTTGCCCATTACTTATTCTTTTTTCTCATTCTATAAATCCTTTAGCTGAAGCAGCCGCCCAGGCTACTAGCTATCCGGGCTCCGGTTCCTCGAAACGAACGCAGCCGACCATTGCGCAGCGAAATTACTCAATATGAGCGTCAAAACTGTGTCAATTACTCCCTTCCAGGACCAGAAGGCTGGGACGTCAGTATACCCTCACAAATATCAAATAACCAACCATGTTCATCCACTAATACAAGTACTAGATCCGGTCTTCGCAAGAAGGTCACCGTCTTCCAGCAGCCAAACTACTCCGAGTCCTTTATCACAAGCATTCTACTCTCCATCCCAGAAGGCGTTGAAGGTTCCTTTTTGGTCATTGGTGGTGATGGGAGGTACTACAACCCAGAAGTCGTGCAATTGATTGCCAAAATCGGAGCTGCGTATGGCGTCAAAAAGTTACTGGTGGGCCACAATGGGATCTTGAGTACACCAGCTGCCAGTCATGTTATCAGAAAGAGAAAGGCCACAGGAGGTATCTTGCTTACTGCAAGCCATAATCCAGGCGGTATGTGTTTTTTATACCACTAGTTTCCTAGATATCCCCGCTACTAGGACCATTGTACCCCGTAAGCAGACAGACCTCATATATCTAACGTGCTGTTCATTAATAGGACCAAATGCGGATTTCGGTATTAAATACAATCTTTCGAACGGTGCCCCCGCCCCCGAATCAGTGACAAACAAGATCTATGAAACTTCCAAGCACCTGACATCATACAAAATCGCTGCAATACCGGACATCGATCTTGCGCATATCGGGGTCCAGAAATGCGGACCCCTGGAGGTGGAAGTTATCCATTCCACAACTGACTATGTTGATATGCTTAAGGAGATATTTGACTTTGATCTTATCAAATCCCTATTTAAGATACATCCAGATTTCAAAGTCCTCTTCGATGCATTGCACGGCGTCACTGGACCATATGGAAAGGCCATTTTCCTCGACGAATTAGGACTGCCAGCCACTAGTGTGCAAAATTGCGTTCCCTCTCCAGACTTTGGTGGCGGACATCCTGATCCAAATCTGACATACGCACACTCTCTGGTCGAAGCCGTCGACAAAAATGGTATTCAATTTGGTGCGGCGAGTGACGGAGACGGAGACCGCAACATGATATACGGAGCCAAAACTTTCGTCTCGCCAGGAGACAGCTTGGCCATTATTGCCCACCATGCAAAACTGATTCCATACTTCAGGGACCAAGGTGTCTATGGCCTAGCCCGCTCAATGCCAACTTCCGGCGCCGTCGACCTAGTCGCCAAAGCGCAGGGCCTGCAATGCTACGAAGTGCCCACGGGCTGGAAGTTCTTCTGCGCCCTCTTCGACACCAAGAAAATGTCCATCTGCGGCGAAGAGAGTTTTGGCACAGGCAGCAACCACATCCGCGAAAAGGACGGCCTCTGGGCTGTCATCGCCTGGCTCAACATCATCGCCGGCGTCGCCAAAGCCAACCCGGATAAACCCGTCAGCATCGCCGCGATCCAATACGATTTCTGGAAAGAATACGGCCGCACCTTCTTCACCCGCTATGACTACGAAAATGTCGATTCCGCCGGTGCTAGCAAGGTCATTGCACATCTCACGGACCTCATTACAACCCAGAAAGAAACTTTCGTTGGCTCTAGCGTTTCAGGCCGCAAGGTCCTCGAGGCAGATGACTTCTCCTACACCGACCTGGACGGCAGCGTGAGTAAGAATCAGGGCATCTACGTCAAGTTTGATGATGGGAGTCGGATCGTGGTCCGGCTCTCGGGGACTGGTAGCAGTGGCGCAACGATTCGGTTGTATGTTGAGCGTCATGAGGCGGATGAGAAGGAGTTCGGGAAGGATGCGCAGGAGTATTTGAAGGAGAATATTGGGTTGGCGGTGCAGTTGTTGAAACTGAAGGAGTTTATTGGAAGGGAGGAACCGGATGTTAAGACTTAAGGAAACTGAAAAAGCCGCCTCAGCCTGGCAGTGTAGGTGAGGGAGAGGCGCCGGGAATGGATTTAATGACTGGAAACGAGGTGGGAGGATTGAGTCAGGCAAGCGTGAACTTTTCACCCCCAAAATCAATTTATGAGGACATGGTTACAGAATAAGAGATGAGCATTTTCAAATTTCCATGAAAGCATACATACATATATATTTGAGCAATTATTTTTCATTCCATATAGGTTAAAAGAAAAGTAGTTAATTAAGCAAGTTTCTTAGTCAGGGCAGGCTCGTGAACCCCTTTTGTCGCTAGTAAGGCCCTATCAAGATAGATATAAGACATGGGCGTGATGTCTTATATCTATCTTGATAGGGCCTTACTAGCTCAACAGGCTGACAAAAGGGGTTCGATGCACTGTTTATAAACATATGAACAACAGCAGGGATATGGTGACAAGAAATGGAGGGCGGCAGTTGAGTTGAGTACTTGTCAATTTGCATGAGTGGGGGGGGGAAGAAAAGCAAAATATTTATTCATCACTCCCTAGGAGCAAATTAATTAAGAAATCATGGTATCATAAGCCGTCATATCACACCATGGCATGGCCCGCAATGATTAAATCCATAGAAGAAGAAACAAAAAAAAAAAAGGGGGGG